TGGTGGCAGAGGGGAAAGCGAGCCAGCCAGGGCTGAGCCATCGCTGCTCGGCTCCCCGCCAGCCCGTATCTCGTCCCCTGCCCAGATACTCTGCAGCTGCTGGGGCTTGTCTGCCGGGGGGCGCCAGGGGGCGACCAGGGAGCACGAGGCTATGCTGCCTGCATCACCCCTCTCCCAGCCACTCCTCCGTCGCTGGGCTGAGCGCTTTGGCCGAGTGCGGGCTGCTGCTGTGAGAACAGTGTGAGCCCCATGGGCTGGAACGTAAGGCTGAGGGTAGAGAAGGAAAATCCATTCTGGCAAAGCTTGACTGCCTTTTGAGCCCTGCTTTGGGCTGCCGCTGCTCAACCTCCGCTCCGCCTTGTATCCTGCATCCAGCCGCTTGGGACATGCTGCTTCCAGGCCAGCCAGCTGGTGGATGGGCAAGCAGACGATCCTCGGGGGAAGCATTTTCTCTCAGGCTTCCCACCTGGTGTTGTGGCCTGCAAGCGGCCTGCGTGGATCGTGGCTGATCCCGACGACGAGGAGGCTGATGTGGGGTTGCGCCAGCAGCCTGCACAGCCGGTGCTCACGTCGGACAGTGAGGAGGCTGAAGAGGATGTGGTGCCAGAGGCAGAGACTCAGCCAGGGCCTTCAGAACCTCCAGAGGCTTCTTCAAGTGGAGGAGGAAGCCCTTTGGCTGAGTGCAGCAAGCCCGGAGTGCCCCGCTCGCTGGCCTTCCACTGGGACCATCCTGCCCCCGCGTGGGAAAGCCACACCGCCAATCTCTCCCCTTACCCTCATACCTTCCTGAGCACGGAGGAAGGAAGGAGATTGCAAGGAGACGAAATGGGACCTTTAGGACCATGGGGCTTTCCCTGCCAGGTGTGGGGTAATAGGCAATTGCAGGGGCTGCGGGGGGCACGGAAGGCGAGCAGCAGGTGGAATGCAGTTTTTGGTATTGGGGGAGGGGCAGAAGCAGAACTGCTGTCTCGGAATCAAGCATGGAGGCAACACAGGGGTGGGTGGACAAACAGAGATGCCGCTGCTCAAAAAGGCTTCCCATTTTGATCCCTCCCGCATCGTTGCCTCTATGTGGCTCTCCACTCACTTCTCCCAGACATGCGCACGTATTTTGTATGTGCGCATGCACGGGGTGGGTGGGGGGTGGAGGGGGGAGTGACAGGCTGCAGGGGCTCTGCAGCCCGCTGCAACCACTGGGGTGGCCCTCCAAGCAGGTGTGGCGGCAGCAGCTCCGGCAGAATGGTGGTGGTGGGGAGGCATGTGATGCAGACGTGCCTGCTCCATCCCACTTAGATGGAATTGGCAGGCATCTAGGAACTGGCGCATCCAGCAGGCCGGACTGCGTGCCTCCCCCCTGCACCTCTGCCTCCCGCTACTGTCACCACTGTGAGACAAGGTGAGACTGGAGGTGGGAAGGCTGCTGCCAGACAGCATCGGCCTTGCCTACTCTGTCCTGTCTGTTTTTGCTTGCGTTTGAGAGGAGGTCACCACTGGTCATCTCCTTGACCCCCTTGCAGGTATTAACCTTGGTCCACGCATGGAGCGTGTTCCCCTCGCACACCTGATGCACCTCGGCACCACTGTGAACCACTGCCACCACCGAGGCCGCCAGCAGCTTGTGCAGTTCTGTTAGGCTGCTGCCATGGCCGGCTGGATCACCAGGCCCGCCCAGCCCGAAGGAGGCGAAGCAGCCAGCTAGAAAGCACGAGTAGAGGTGGTAGAGGATGCCCAGGCCCAGCAGGCAAAAGTTGGCCACTGCGAGTGAGGAAAGCCGGATCCCCATCGGCACCATGACTGCCCAGGCTCAGTGATGATCGTGTACCTCCCCCGTCTCTGTTGGGCCTGGGCAGCCATGGTGCCCATTGGAATCTGACTTTCCCTGTTCATGGTGGCCGACTTTTGCCTGTTGGGACTAAGTTTTCTAGCTGGTTGCTTCACCTCCTTTGGGCTGGGCGGGTTTGCAGAATGGCGCAGCAGCAGTCCATGGTGGGGCCAAGGTGCATCGGGTGCATGCGGGGAACACGCTCCACGTGCAGGACAAGGGCAAGACCCGCGAGGGGGTCGAGGAGATGACCAGTGGCAACCTGCTCTCCAGCCGCAGGCAAAATCAGACAGTGGGACAGTAAGCATGTCCAGTGGTCCGAATCATATGCCTCCCGCCTTCACCTGCTGCTGCGCATGCTGCTGGGACAACCAGCCCAGTGTAGTAGGCTCTGGAGTCGCAGAGTGCACCAGCTGAGGGGCTGCAGGATGTGGGTGCTGCCAGAAAACATTGGCCCCTGCACACAAAGGGTGGCGAGCGCACAATGGCCAACGGTTTCCAGCATCAGCCGCTCCACATTGCCTCACAGTGACAGCACCCCATTCCTATGTCGCCTCACCCCATCCTGTGGGATGAGCCTCCCACCCACCACCCCACCTGCTGGAGACCCCTAGATTCCCTCCCCAATACCGCCTGACCCAAGCGAGTGACATCAAACTGGCCACGCCAGTTGGCCATTACCATCCTGGCTATGCCTCCCCCCAGCCCCCCCGAGGACAATCACAGTGCTGATGTGGCCAGCAATGAAATAGAGTTCGACACCCCTGATCTAGAGGGAAAAAGATGCTCCAGAAAGCAGAGTGTAGCATCCATATACAGTACAACTCCTTAAACATCAAAGCTACTAATTCACTAATATGAGCCACAAGAATTCACCAACATTGCATCTGTAACAACTGTTCCAGAAATCACAGGAAAAGTTATGTTAAAAAAATGCAAGGCATTGATGAGAAAGTAATGGAAGTGTTCCAAATCTAAGAAATTTATTTAAAAGAAATGTTAGAATCCAGTATTTTTAAATAGAAATGAACAGCAGAATCAAGTTAGCTGTGTTTCCCAATGAACTGGGTCATATGAAATGCTAAAATATAAGCAATTTGGTTTATAAACAACAGCTTATGGCTTAGTGTCGTGATAGCGAACCTATGGCACGCGTGCCAGAGGTGGCACACAGCGCCCTCTCTAAAGGCACGCAAGCTGTCACCTCAGTTCAGTTCCACTGCGCTGCATTTTTGCGCACATTTGCGTGCGCCTCCAGCCGGCCAGCTGGTCTTCTGGTCTCTGCCACGCATGCATGGCGATGGGGGCGTGCAGGGGGGCAGTGTGCACATGCATAGGCCGCATGTGGAGGGCCATGCATGCATGTGCACATTGCATTTTGGGGGTTTGGGCACGCACCTGTTATTTGCACGTGTGTTTTGGGCACTCAGTCAGGAAAAGTCTAGCCATCACTGGCCTACTTTCAAGTCAGCCAATTGTACTCTTCTCAATAAACCATTATTAGGCAAATTACAGCTTAGCATAACACCTAAATCTAAATATGGGTATTTATGGGGCAGAGAATGAACCCTCCCCCCCCCGGACAACCACAATGCTGATGTGGCTCACAATGAAATTGAGTTTGACACCCCTGCTTTAAATAATATTAATATAAAACCAAATTCACTACACTAGTCAAAACCCATTTCTGAAAATCTTATAACAATATACATTAGACCTATTATTTTCAAAAGGCCAAAATAAGAGAGTTTGGTTTCAAGATACAAATGCCTTCCAAACAACATAATAAGCATATGAAAAGCTGAAATAGTAGTTCCTTGAAACACAAATATATCTGCAGAAATACTTAAATCTTTTAAAGTTTTCCTTTAGAGGAATTATTGCTTTGATGTTTTTCTGTTTATTAGACCTAGGAATAATAAATACTACTGATTTTGTACATATTTCCTTAACAGTTAGTTTCATGGTTTTCTCTTCAATTTACTGTCAGATAAACTTTACTTTAATAATGCCAGAACTATTAAGCAGGCATAAGTAGCAAAGTTATTCGGAAACAAATGCCACTGAGTTCAGGAGATTAACTCAATTAAATATGAACAGAGTATAATTATTGTTAATTGTTCTATATCCTCATACTTAAATGTTTAAGTGCATTTTAAAATATGAAGCCTGCCTCCACACTTGAATGTGTACACTTTTAAGTCCAATATATGAAATATTATTTTATATATTTAAATGATTAAGGCACAATGCTATTCAAGGATGAAAAGGTGGCCCTTACTTAGAAACATCAGCATTGAAAATATATAGCAAACAGTAAAATCATAGCTGCATAATTGTGCCGGAGTATCTGCCTGAAAGATCATAATACTATTTTTCTTGGGTTATGGTTTTTACTGATGCAGCAATACTACACACAACGGATCCCCAACCCCGGGTTGTGGCCCAGTGCCAAGCTACAGCCCGTTCAGAACCAGGTCATGGAAGAGGTGGATGAGGGTGCGTGAGCCAATACATGTACACACAAAGCTGCGTTTTTGAAAGGGGCACACATGTGCAAAACCATCCCCTACCGCTCATCTTCCAGTCTGCTGAACAGAAAGATTGGGGAACACTGCTATGCACTATTTATCAATATCAACATTATACAAGATTATTTCAATTTTATAATTAAGTGCTAAAGATTCCATCATGGTGAATTCCAGCATGAAACTACATTCTCTTATAAAATATTAATGCCCTGTAAAGAAGAATATTCACTTTGGTTTTGGGGATATTCTGCATTCTACGATTAAACTCTTAAAATGTGTTTATCTTTCTTCTGTTCATTTACCATATATATCTTCTGACTACATAACTTTTTTAAACAATAGGTTTTGAAACCTACTGTTTTGTGGAAACTTTTCTCCATATAAGTTTGAACCACAACCATGGAATCCTTCAGTGGTGGGCTTTCTATGACAGTCATTCAGTTTTCAAGAGATCCAGTTCAGTTGTTCTCTCTGTGCCAGTATCAAATATTTATCTCAGAATAAACAAAACTAGATTTTAGTAATCAAGCTGAAGCTTATCAGTCATTATTTTGAGAAATAAAGAGGTTTCAAAGAGTTCTGAAGCAGGTTAAAAATCTTATTCCGAAATACTGAGATCTGTCACTCAATGCAAAATATATGTCAACTTATATATTATAAATAATTTATTCTCTGAGTATTTGTCCTAATTTCCTATTTGCGAAGTATTGGTGATAATACAGCATTTTTTGTTTTTGATTAATTGTATTATTTCCTTTTTGTAGGACAGAAACATAAAACAATTGTAGCATATTTTTGTCTTTTAAATACAGCAATCTCCCAACTGACAGAAAAAAAGGCTTCAGAATAATATAAACATTTTTGCAGAAACATTTTTAAAAATCACATTTCCTACTTCTTTTTCTCAGAATTAATATCTACTTAATAATTCTTACAGTACATTCTGATATTTGATAGTTTCTAATTTAAAAGGCTTTGGAATAACTTTTTTTATCCAGATTACAATCTTTAATCTTTGCTACAAGATTATGGCCACAGCAAAGACACTGACCACACAATTCATCGTTCTGTTTTCCCATCTGACTGTGCAAGTACCTGTAATGGATTTAAAAAATGATAATGATCAGGCAGTTTTCAATTCGTAAAATGGCAAAATCTCTAACCAATATTTTATAACCTATATTCACTCACAGGGAATAGCAGACATCTACTTCATGGTCATATTGGACTGTGCTGTTTTCTAGAAAATATATCTGAATTCTTTCAGCCTTATTTATACATTTAAGATATCATAACCTTGGTCCCAATTCAAACTATGTTGTGATACACTTTAGATATTTATTTATTACTAGCTGATAACCCGGCGTTGCCTGGGTATTTATTTATCCCAATCCTGTATTAGACAGGAATAGCCATCACTCACTGTGGTGAGAATTAGAGACCTAATTGCCCTGGCCAACAGCCTGGGAAAAATTCTACAGGGAACAGCCTTTGAGGTGATTATCTGCATTAGCAAGCACCTCCCCCGACAACTTGCCCTCTTTACTTGAAGCTGAGGCCTAGGGCAGTGATGGCTAACCTTTTTGCCGTTGCGTGCCAAAAGCGGGGAGAGCGCGGGGGGGGGGGCATGTGCGCACATACCTACACCTATAATTCAATGCGCCCTGCCCCCCAAACGTGACCTCCCCATGCTCCAATGCTTTTGGTACGTGATGGCACAGTGGGCATGGTAGGCCTGTTTTTTCGCCCTCCCCAGGCTCCAGAGGCTTTTCTGGAGCCTGGGGAGGGCAAAAACTGCCTTCTCCACCCGCCAGAGGCCCTCCGGAGGCCAGAAACAGCCCGTTTCCCGACTTCCGGTGAGCCTAGAAGGCCTGAAAATTAGGTGGCCAGCGCGCACATGCGCGCTGGAGCTGAGCTAGGGCACCGTTCACGTGCCCACAGATATGGCTCCGTGTGCCACCTGTGGCACGCGTGCCATAGATTCACCATCATGGGCCTAGGGGGTTTATTTTTTGTTTGTTTGTTGTTTGTTTAAGAACCAATCCCCCTTACCAGAGGGAGCCCCCTTGTGGAGTACTGTGAAGCCATTACCATGGCAACTCCATTGAGATGTACATCAGAAGCCATTTTAAGGCACAACAGGGTATATCTTAACAGAACTTGAATACAAAATGCACACTATCACTGTCAAAAGTACTGTGATTTGACACTATAGATATAATTCATTCCTTTTCATTTCAGCAGCCCAGGCATTCCAGAGTTATGCTGGAACACAAACACAGACAGACTCATACACACCCCAAGGGGTGTTAGGGGTGTCTTACCCCCAAAGTATTTTTTTCCCAGAGAGTAAGTCATCTGTGTAGCAAGTTTTGTTATTGCTTGAGGTGTTCCAGAGTTATGCTGAAACACACACACACCTGAGAGGTGTTAGGGGTGTATTACCCCCACAGTATTTGTTTCCAGAGAGTAAGTCATCTGTGTACCAAGTTTGGTTGAAATTGTTCCAGAGTTATGCTGGATCATATATATATATACATACATACATCCTTTTTTATATATATAGAAGACATAGATATTGAGATTCTACCTCTCTTACAGTTCAAAGCAATCTAATTAATGCCTTTCCTATTTTACCTAACAACCCTGCTAGGGTAAGTTGGGTTGAAAGCAAGAATGCATACCTACACTAACCCAGTGAACTTTAGGACAGGCTGAAAGAAAGTGGAGATTCAGAAAAACCAAAAGAAGCCAAAGTTTACCGCATTTTGTCAATCAAGCTTTAGCTTCCGTGTTTCCCCAAAAATAAGACCCACCCCAAAAATAAGCTCTAGCCTGATTTTTAGGAGTGGGCCTAATAGAGGCCATAACCCAAATATAAGCCCGGGGGATGGGCGTGGCCAGCATAAGAGGCAACGAGTGCATAGGGGCTGACGGTGTCCAGCAGCAGCCGCAGCCCGTCGGCCCCTTGGCGCAGCGGATAAGTCTGAGTGCAGAGGTGGGGGGGAGACAGGCGATCTGGATGTGCTGCGCAGCTTCTTTGCTTGTGGGAGGATTGTGCGGCGGCACTGGCAGCAGACAAAGGCAGGAGGAGACAGGCAATCCGGACATGCTGCTCAGCTGCCTGGCTCATGGAAGGCTCATGCAGCGGCACTGGCAGCAGGCAGAGGTGGGGGGGAAAGCAGGTGATCCTGATGCCCTATGCAGGCACCTGCCCCAGCCCAACCACAGGCAAGCTAAGAGACAGTGGGAAAGAGTGGGCAGCCCGTTGGGATTGCCTGCCTCGTCCCCATGCCTCTGCCAGGCTCCACCATGCACTTTTTGCCTAGACGAAACTTCATCTGCTTGCTAATCACTCCGTTTCAAAGCACCCAATTTGCAAGCAGGCAAAGCTTCCAGTCTCTGTCTTTTCTCCATCTGGGCGAAAAGTGTTTGGGCACCTATGGGTCGCCTCGGAACAGAGCAAATTGCTCAGTTCCCAAGTGCCGCATAGGCGCCCAAACACTTTTCACCCAGAGGAAGGCGAAGCCCATGTTTCTCCCGTCTCCTCACTGTCCCACTCCGCTGCCAGCTCTACAGGCTGCTGGTGGACCACAACACTCTGCTTGCAAATGGGGCACTTTGAAACTGAGCCAATTGCTCCATTTCAAAGTGCCCCATTTGCAAGCAGATGAAGTTTCCAGTTTCCATCCAGGCTAAAAGTTTGTCTGCCCTGAGAAGCCGTTGCGGCTGCACGCAAGCAGATGGTGGGATTGGGCAGCCGCCCACAAAATAAGACATCCCCCAAAAATAAGACCCAGTCTTATTTTTGGGGAAGTCACACTACAAGCTACTGTACAATTTATTAGTTTGGACTCAAATCATTGTGTAAAGCCAGGCAACTCTAATTCATTCAATAAATCCTGCTAAAACTCTAGCCGAATATAATTGTGAACACAATCTTTGTAACAATGAAAATTGCACAAAACTGCAGATCACAGGCACCACTTCCATTGTTTCAGTTTTAGCCAAACAACCCTAATTTCAATCGCTAATAATTTACATATACTATGGGAGTTGTCAAATTGTATTTCAACTGGTATAGGATGCCTATGGTCTGCAGTTTTGTGCACTTTTCATTTTATACTTTCATTAAAAATTGAAGTGATACTACAGTGCATAATTTAACCAATGCTTTTATTTGCTGCAGCTTGATATTTACCATCAGTTGTAGTATCCCAAAAACATGAGCTTGCAGTATGCAGACCAGCCCCACACTTCTGCATCACAGCACAGGTCACTAATGGATGGAGGAAAAATTCAGCATTCATTAATAAAGCAAGAAACTGATAAATTATTCAAACTTGCAGACTTTCCTATAGAAGATTTTATTGGGGTTGGGGATAAAGGCCAACTATAAGAAAAACCTCTATCATTATAGTGGCAAAGTATATATATGAAAATCTTCCACTTTTTTCTAACATTAATTATACCAATTATGCTACGAAGTTTTCTTAAGTTTTTTTCCCAGAAAGATTAAATTAACGAGATTCGTTTTTTCTTCTCCTTAAAAAATCTTTCCACTAATAATTCTAGAGATTATATGTACAGATTTTTTTGGGTAAAACTAGCTAATTTTGCCTTTAGTAAATAATTCTTCATACATTTAATTTTCTGCAAAATAATCACTATTGCACTTAAAAGGCGTAGCCTCTAAGCATATCTAAAAATATGAGACCATGGGCTATGAATATTTTAGTCCAACAAAACTAGATAATACCAGATAATACCAGATTTGAGACAGCTACACAAGAATCTGATTTTCTATAGCTCTATTACTGATTTAAATATACTCACTGGAGATATCTGGGCATGTTTCTGCTTAAAAATATTCTACTCTATAACATAATAAAAAAATAACCCTCCCTTTTTACAATCCTGTAATCCCTTAATTTGGTAATATTGGCCAAAAAAGATTAGCAAGGCTCCTTGTCTTTCTCCTGCTCCTTCTATATTTGTGCCTGCCTCATGGGAAATGAGAATTAAATCCTAATCCCACATCTATCACTTTAAATACGTCTTCTTGATTATGGAGTTGAAGTCTCAGGATATCTGGAAAGAATCAGCATGAAGAAAACTGCTTTAGAAGAAGCTATTGGTATACGATATTAAGTTTTCACACAAAGAAATAGTATTGTATATTCACCATAAATCTTACCAATATACTTATATGTTTTTCCCAGTTTTACCAGATTTGCTAGAGACCGTTCTATTATAGCGGCAATCCATTTATTCACACTGTCAGGGTTATAATCTGCTTTGCCTAGAACACTTTCTATGCACTGAAGAAGAAAATAATAAAAGAACAAGTAAAAGATTTTTATAGAAATATAAATGTAAAGTTTTCATATAATGAATGGAAAATAACTCAAAATCCATGGCACTTTTTCTAATGTCTAGACTAGAAATTATGAGATATTAATTAGAAAAGCAATCAGTCAATAATCTGAGTGTTATCTCAACATGTCTAAAATATCTCATTGTGTTGAATTTACATATTAATGCAACAAATAAAAGCAGCATCTTATTTGTTTTCACAGTGCTGGACTTCTCTGGCGCAGTTGTAAACATATTATGATACAGATTAAGTTTTCTAGTTAAACACAAAAAAGGCTTCATCGCAATACCAGAAATACAGTTTACCATCTTTACAAAATTAAGCAAGTTTGTTACTACAGCAAAGAATTCAACAGAACACTTGTTGCTTTGCAATGCTAATCATAATTGGCTCAGATCCTAAACAGCCTTCTTGTGATCCAAAGGTCTCCTTCCAAAGAAGGATCCCCAATCTACCATATAATTTTGCAAATGAAATGAGTGAACACCAGTTGACACTTATTCACCTTTATCCTCACATTCAAGCACTCCTATGTTAGCTAGGTTATCACTCACATCCAATTATACCTTAGTCTGAGAGTATAGCAAGCTGTAGGAAACAGAACTGACGGAAATACAGGTAGTCAAGTTACAAATTTAATGGAGCCTGCCCATTCCATTTGTAACCGAAGGATATATGGGAGTGAATCTCGTACCTTGAACGAGCTCACTCTCTCCTTTCGCCCACGCATTCACTAATCAAATGCAAGGCTCATTAAGTGCACATGAGGTATTTCAGGGGTAGAGAAGGCGGGGGGGGGGACTACTGATGGAACAGGCCACCTTTCTACGATCACCCAAGCCCTTCCTGCCCCACTGAAATACCTCATGATGGCCAAAATTGGTTCCCCCCCAACCTGCTGCACCGGGTCACTTACCTTGTGAAGATCTAGAAAGCAGTCTCTTCTCCAGCCTCGTGCACCTCATTCGGGCCCCCACAGGCTTCCCTTGGCCTGTTGCAGGCTGAAATGGAGCCTCTGGGGGCCAGATCCCAGCCTCCATGGGCCTCTCCCAGCCTGTTGCAGACTGAAATGGAGCCTCTGGAAACCGGAAGCTCCATTTCGGCCTGTAACGGGCCTGGGAAGGCCGCTGGATGGCCGAATGAATGGGGCTTCTGAGGGGTGGATCCGCCCCTCAGAAGCTCCATTTCAGCTGGCGATGTGCTGGACAAATGTTGCAGAGCCTCTGCGGGTGTTTGTAAGGGCGAACAACTGCCGTGGTGCTGCAAGATTCATAGTTTCGGGCCTTGTTTGGAAACACTAGGGGGCAATCCAGGGTATTACCTGTAACTTTCTGCTAGTGTGTATCCTCTGATGTACATTTCCACTCATAAGACATTTAAAATTCAGTTCATTGTCTTGATCTTAATGTTAAAAACCTTAAAAATCTATTAATCAAATATGAATACAAAGTTTGGCTATCATCATAGCTATTGATACTTATTTCCAAAATTCAATAATACACCAAATTAAATGCATATAGTATTATAGCTCAAGTCTTTCAGAGATATCATATTTTTTGGTGTATAACACGCACTTCCCCCTTCTCAAAAGTGGGTGGAAATATCTGTAGTCTTATACAGTGAATGTTGCCGAAACCCCACCCACCCGCCGGCCCCCACCCTTCGGCCTCTGCTTCCCAGCAATTTGCCTCCTTGCAGCTAACAGCAAAGCCTGGTCAGCTTCAGCACAGCCTGATTTAGCACGAGCAGCTGATTGGCGGTTGGATCTGTCTCGAAGAATACCGCCTATCAGCTATTCCAGGCTGTGGGGATTGCCACTGCCCATTGCTGTCGCCACCTATCCGTGCCGCCCAGGGGTGGGTTCTATTTACCTTTACCACCAGTTCGCAATGGAATCGGGTGTGCACACTCGCTTTGCTCGTGCGCCTTGCTTCTGCGCAGATCGCTGATGACGACATCAGGGGTGGTGGGTGGGGCCTCCTGCCGGTTTTACTACCAGTTCTTGCAAACCGGTCCTAACCGGGGGCAACCCACCACTGCTGCCCCCTGGAACGGGCCGAAAACAGGGCACACGGAGGCCAAAAATGGGGCACGTGGAGGTAGCAATAGGTGGCAGCGGCGATGCGTGGCAATGGCGGCAATGGATGGCGGCGATCCCCGAAGCCTGGAACAGCTGATAGGCAGTATTCCAGGAGGCAGATCGAACCGCCAATCAGCTGCTCATGATAAATCAGGCTGTGCTGAAGCTGACCAGGCTGTTTGCTGTAAGGAGGCAAATTGCTGGGAGGCAGAAGCAGATTTTTTTTTCTTATTTTCCTCCTCAAAAGCTAGGTGCGTCTTATAGTCCAGAGCATCTTATAGTCCGAAAAATATGGTATCTGTCATTTCTATTTTTAATGCACATAAAAAAAACCCATCAAAAATGCATTTTATTACCAAAACACATATAACTCACATCTTTAATAATATTGTAGGCTTCTTCAGTGTTAAAGATCACCTGTAAATATATTAAAATATATAAAGATATTATATCCAAATTCTATCCAAATTTGAAAATATGAATTTTATCCAAATTCATCCAATTTGAGTGTACTGCAACTTATAAAAATTTAAACTAAATAAACAGTAAAGCATATCAAGTAACTTTCCAGAATACAAAAATATACAGGCCATTAAAAAAAAAATACAATTCCTTCAAATGCAAAGTTAATAGTCACAATCTTCTTTCCTTCGTTCTGGTAATGTAATTAATTTATGAAGTTAATGCATATTGCTACTATAACCAAGTTGTTATATCTTAACAAATATGTATCATAGTACTAAAACCCACAAAGTCTCAAATGTACTGTTTAGCTGTTTTTTTAATTCACTGCTTCTATCTTGAAAGATCAGAAACTAAAATCTGTATATAATCCTAGAGAATAATACATGCACAGTGCTTTAGATCTAGAGCAGAGTGTCAAACTCAAGGCCCGTGGGCCACATCTGGCCCACAAGGTGGTTAAATCTGCCCTGCGGGGCCATCCTGAAAACAGTGAAGGACTGACCTGTGGCACCTTGGCCTGGGCCACGCTGACTGGGCACTGATCTGCAACCTGATAGTAGCAATCGAGGCCGGATTGCGGCCAGCATTAGATCGCAGCCCCACCTTAGCCCCACCTCTGGGTGTGCGCACAGGAGGTGGTGAGTGCACGGGGCCTGGTGTCCCTGGGGACCATGTTCTGAGTGCTTCTCTTTCATCCAGGACACCAGTCCTCGTGTGCTCGCTGCCTCCTATGCACATGTACAGGGAGTGGGGCCGAGGCGGTGGCGCAGATCTAATTGCTGGCTGTGGTGCGACCCAAATGGCCACCATCAGGTTGCAGATTAGAGCCCTCCTTGCTGGCCTTTCACTGGGACCGTCCTGCCCCCGCATGGGAAAGCCAAGCTGCCAATCTTTCCCCCTGCCCTTCCTGAGCATGGAGGTAGGAAGGAGATGGCAAGGAGACGGAATGGGACATTTAGGACCATGGGCTTCTGCCTGCCAGGTGCAATGGGCAATAGGCGATCACAGGGGCTGTGGGAGGGATGCGGCAGGCGAGCAGCAGTGGCATGCAGCTTCTGGCATTGCAGGGGGCAGGGGCAGAAGCAGAACTGCTGTCTCAGAATCAGGCGTGGAGGTAACAGAGGGGAGGATGGACAAAAAGGGAAGCTGCTGCTCCAGTTTGTTTGTTTTTTACCTGCCAGAGGTTTCCCATTTTGATCCCTCCCCCATGGTTATTTCTATGTGGCTCTCCACTCACTTCTCCCAGACCTCCACACGTATTTGTGTGCGTGCGTGTGGGAGGAAGCTCCGCAACCCACTGCAACCACTGGGCTGGCCCTCCAGGATGCAGGGGGGGAGGTACATGATGCGGACCACCTTACGTGCCTGCTCCATCCCACGTAGCTGGAATTGGCAGGCGACTGCCTGGTGCATCCAGCAGGCCGGACTGCATGCCTCCCCCCTGCACCTCTGCCTCCGGCTACAGTTGCCATTGCGGGACAAGACAAGGTGAGGCTTGGGGTGGGGCAACTGCTGCCAGACAGCATCGGCCTGCCTATTCTGTCCTGTCTGTTTTTGCTTGCGTTTGGAGAGCAGGTTGCCGTTGGTCATCTCCTCGGCCCCTTGCAGGTCTTGCCCTTGACCCGAGCATGGAGCACATTCCCCTCGCACACCTGATGCACCTCGGCACCACTGTGGACCGTTGCCACCGATGCTGCCAGCAGCTCACGCAGGTCCATTAGGTTGATTCCATCGCCGCCCGGAGCACCAGGCCTGCCCAGCCTGAAAGAGGCGAAGCAGCCAGCTAGAAAGACCAAGTAGAGGTGGTAGAGCACGCCCAGGCCCAGCAGGCAAAAGTCGGCCACCATTAGCAGGGCAAGTTGGATTCTCATCAGAAAGTTGTGCCTCCCCCGTCTCTGCTGGGCCTGGGAGGCCATGGCACCGATGGGAATCCAACTTTCCCCACTCACGGTGGCTGACGTTCCTCTGCTGGGCCTGGACATGCTCTACTCGGGCTTTCTAGCTGGCTGCTTCACCTCCTTTGGGCTGGGCAGGTCTGCCAAGTAGCGGTAGTGGTGGGTCTGCAGTGGCAGGTGGCCAAGGTGCATCAGGTGCGCGAGGGGAACATGCTCCATGCCAGGGCAAGGGCAAGACTCATGAGTGGGTCGAGATGACCAGCGGTGACCTGCCGCAAGCAAAAACACAGTGGAACAGAGTAAGCACGTCCAGGGGCCTGCATCGTGTGCCTCTGCCTGCTGCTGATGCCGCTGCTGCGCATGCTGCTGGGAGGACCAGCCTGGTGGAGCAGGCTCCAGAGCTGCAGAGTGCGCCAGCTGAGGGGCTGGCAGGCTGTGGGTGCTGCTGGAAAACATCAGACCCCACGCACAAGATGGTGATCACACAATGGCCAATGGTTTCCAGCACCAGCTGACCCACCTCTTGTATCACCTTGCGGCAGCAGCACCCTTATCACATCCCGTGTCACCTCACCTCATCATGTGGGACGAGCCTCCCACCCACCACCCCACCCACCGGACACCCCTGGATTTCTTCCCCAACACTGCCTGGCCCCTCATGAGCAACATCAACTGGCCATGCCCCTGGGTCATGCCCAGTCAGCCATTACTCCCCCCCCCAGGACAACCACAATGCTGATGTGGCCCACAATGAAATAGAGTTTGACACCCCTGATCTAGAGGGAAAAAGATGCTCCAGAAAGCAGAGTGTAGCATGCATATACAGTAAAACTCCTTAAACATCAAAGCTAATTCACTAATATGAGCCATAAGAATTCACCAATGCTGCATCTGTAGCAACTGTTCCGGAAATCACAGGAAAAGTTATGTTTAAAAAAATGCAAGGCACTGATGAGAAAGTCATAGTAGGAAGTGTTCCAAATCTAAGAAATTTATTTAAAAGAAATGTTAAAATCCAGTGTTTTTAAATAAATAAAATCCAGTCATTTTAAATAAAATGAACAGCAGAATCAAGCTAGCTGTGTTTCCCACTGACCTGGGTCATATGAAATGCTAAAATATAAGCAATTTGGTTTGTAAAAAAAAGTTTAGGGCTTAGTGCATTGTATGAAGTAAGACAATTGTACACTTCTCAATAAACCATTAGGCAAATTACAGTTTAGCATTAACACCTAAATCCAAATATGTGTATTTATGAGGCAGAGAAATAGACATGACAGCATTTCTGAATGGTGCCACACACACATATACCAATAAGCAGAACAAGTAAGAATTTTTCTTAACTCTTTAACTGGAAAAAATGGTTTAGTGGGCACCTGAGAATTCAAAGAAGTAATTCCCCCCATCAGAATAACAAATAATATAACTGTAAGGACTAACTTCTCCCCCCCTTCCAAGAAAGTAAGAACTCTTGAGAACTTTGTATTTCAAAAGGAGCCTTTTATTGAAAGGGATGAAAGCAAGTCAAAACTCAAAGCAGGCTCTGGGGTCCCTCAGGGCATGCAGTTCAGGATAAAGGAAATTAAGAACCCCCTCCCCACCGTCTGATGTGGATTCCAACCAATCTGCTGGTGTGAAGATGAATTGTACCAGCCTCTCTGAGAAACAGATAAGAAGAGCTTCTCAGGGTCATCTTGCAATCCACTCATTCCCTCACCCCTTTCATTTCCCAAGGTGTGAGAATTCTCCAGGCATTCCTGGTGTCAGGCATGGTTATTAATCAGGTTAAAGTTTATACAAAGAGGACCAGGCAGGACACATAGGAAAAAGAACTAAATGTGACAACTCCGAATCCCCCTCCCTCTTCCACGAAGAATGGCATATACACAGATCTGACAATAACATAATTGGAAGGGACCTTGGAGGTTTTCTAGTCCAACCCCCTGCTGAAGCAGGAAATCCTATACCATTTCAGACAAATCTCCAATCTCCAATCTCTTCTTGAAAAACCTCCACTGTTGGAATACCCACAACTTCTGGAGGCAACTTCCATTCCACTGATTGTTCTGTCCAGAAATTTCTTCTTAGTTCTACATTGTTTCTCTCCTTAATTAGTTTCCATCTGTTGCTTCTTCTCCTGCCGTCAGGTGCTTCAGAGAACAGGTTGACCCTCTCTTCTCTGTGGCAACCTCTTTCTGAATCCACCCATATATTGGGAATGTAGAGTCGAAAACATTTCATGGATAGATCCAACAGGAGAGCTAATTTCTCTCTGGAAGGGTTGGATCCATAAGTATTATATTTCTCAGCCTTGTAGGATTTGTCCTTGAATTATACGTAGAAACAAACTGACAATTAATGCATTGCTTATATTGTTGATGCATCATTGCCGCACTGGTTCTCATCCACCAGCATATAAGTGACTATATTTTGCATAACTGAAAGTTTCTAAGTAATCTTCAAGAGCAGTTTAAAATACAAAACAGTGTGGTATATATCAACATTTAAAACAAAGTACAAGCAATCCTCATGTTACATCCATTTGTTCAATGACTGTTCAAAGTTTCAATGGTGTTGGAAATACATGGATGTAGGACTGTTCTTTGAAGCTCTGGCCTTTGTGGTACCTAGTCCTGTGATTAAGCCCAGGGTATAACTGGTAACATCTGTATATGGATGGTATCTCACTCTGAACAGATTATCTTTTGTAGAAATTCCATACACGTGCTAAATAACATGGGACAAAACAGTCATTCTTCTAGCACTATGTAGTGGAGTAGTCAGGAGTTTGAATATTCTGTCCCAATTTACAGGTAGTCCTCAACTTATGAGCAACATTTCTGTTGCTAAGCGAGACAACTGTTAAGTGAGTTTTGCCACATATATTACGACCTTTCTAGCAACAGTTGTTAAATAGATCATTGCAGTTAAGTCAGTAATACAGTTGTTAAGTGAATCTGGCTTCCCTATTGACTTTGTCAGAAGTTACAAAAGGGCGTTGCCTGGTTATGACCCCAGGACGTTGCAATGGTCGTAAGTGTGAAAAATGGTCATAAATCACTTTTTTCATTGTAACTTCACCATTGACTGTTGTCATTTCAAAAGTTCGCTAAATAAATGGTTTTAAGTTGAGAACTACATTTTATGCTGTATGCAGCGCAGAGAAACTTCGAAGCAAGATGGGTGGCAAATAAATTTAATAAAAATAAATATCAATTAAAGTAGTAGAATAACAATAGAGCCAATAGTCCCTTATCTCCTAAAGATCAGGAGAACCATGCTTCTCTCCAGATTCCATTGGTCACCTACAAGAGTAATGTAGACTAATGCCACTCAGCCTGAACCCTAACTGTGAATCTGAGCAATTTATCCAAAATAAAAAAATATTTTTTTTTGTCGTTTGTTATCTGTCAATTTATTGTTGGATACTTAAGAGTTTATATGGGTGGCCTTAAAGTCTTTTAAATAATAAATATATGTATAAAAAATTACTATTTGTAAAGGAATATTGTAACTATAGATTTAAGCCTTCTGGTCTTTTTAAAAGATTTAGCATAATCTAGCACACCATAAAAGAAGAAACTTTGAGAAGTCCATGAATATGGGTTACTGTACAAGTTTCCATTTTGTGATGAGGTCAGCTCAAGGCAGCGTGACATGTTGTAGAAGCAAGTAAAGAGGTCAACTTAGATATTACTTCACTGCCTGTGACCGCCAGTGGCACAATGCCTCTCTACCAGCATGACCAAAGTCAAGTGATGAAAGGAGCGAAATTCTTTGAAGTAATCCTTAAAGTATTAATTCTATTGATTTTTGTAGCGTTATTTTTAATGGCTAGTAAAATAAAAAACCAATTGTAAAAAAACAGCTGGAAAATTAAAATGCTGATGCATCCTCTCCATCCCCGAAAGAAAAATCATCACATGCATACACATACATATGCAGGGTGTGTCCTCTTGATACTTCATGGCTGCTTAAGTATGAAGTATCACTGCTCCGACTTGGCTGCATCGCCTTTGATTGGCCTTATATTAGAACGACCAGGCCTGAAAAGCTCGATCGGTCTTGTTATGCCAGGAGATTTATCACCTCTCCCCAAAGAAGGTGACGCGAGCCCGCCCGGAGACGACGCCTGATGGGACTGAGAGAGCCGGCCTTGTGCTCCTCGAGGGCCTTTCAGTCCACAATCGAGCAAGATCGACCCCGGGAGAAGAGGGATTTCCTTGGTTCCTGCTGACCAGCGCGGGAAAGAACTGCATTACCTCATCGTTACGGGGATGAAATTCCTCCATAGCTGCAGCGATGGTAGCAGCAGAAGCCTCCCAACTCCCAGCCTCGCCCTTGCATTAGCTCAGCAATTCTACTTCCTCCTCCTCTGAGCCCGGAGCACGAGAGTGCCTCTTTCTGCAACTCCCTCTGCTGGCTGAAAGGCTCCACGTCTCCGAAGCTCGTTTGTGTGTTGTCCGGCTCATCCCCAGATTTACTTGTTTGCAATACTAAGAAAGAGGCCGTAAATATTTAGACACAAAAAGGACAATTCCCATCTTGGGGAATGCCTGTGTGTGTTATATATAAGGAAAATGATCACTTAAAAGAATAATTAGCATTTATAGGAAAATGGAGTTCTATTGTTTCTAAAAAGGAAAATGCTTGATATGTCAAATGGAACAATTATAAACAGTTTCAAAATTACCTGTATGTAGCAGCTAACAGCTAAGAATCAGCTGTGTGAAACCACAAGCCTAGCCAGCCTGAATCCCAGCAAGCAGAGGAAGTACAAAAATAACAATAGAGCTTATGCTAGCAAGAAAAAAGGTTATGGTGAACTTGTTAAAATTCTTTGAACAAAGGTGAAGTGGGCTTTTAGAAGAATTGAGAAGGATGCTGTGTCAAAAAGGGGAGGAGGAAATGAACTTGTGTAGGGGGATAAAAGCTGATCAATGCTTTGTTCCTTGTCCACGTTCTGCAATCGCCCACATTTTGTATTTGCATCTCAACATTGTACAGATAGTCCTTGACCTATGACTACAATTGGGATCATATTTCCATTCCTAAGCATGGTAGTTGTTAAGTGAGTCTTGCCTGATTTTACTATCTTTTTGCCACAGTTATAGCAAATCACTGCAGTCACTGTGGTCATTAAGCAAATCCAGTTTCCCCTATTGACTTCACTTGTCAGAAATTATCTGAGAGGGTTGCAAATGGTGATCACATGACCTTGGGATGCTGCAACTGTCATAAATACATGTCTGGTTGCTAACCACACAAATTCTGATTACATGATTGTTATAGAAATGAAAGGCTGGAAAACATTCCTGGGTCAGACAGATGCATTTATTTGCGCAAAGGTTCAGTGCAGTGTTTGGTTCTTGCAAATCTGAACAAAGACGAGCTATGATTTCATGATTTTTATATGTTTTCAAGACAAGGAGTTCTATGAGCCCTTCCGGCTTTCATATATGGTTACATTATAAATACATTATACTTACATTACACTTTACTAATTACCAAACCATTACATGCTAGTTAATAAAATTATTTTGGCTACACATTTTTACTACTCCATCATTTTACTAATTATTAAACCATTACAACTTTACTAACCCATCACTTTATAGTTTACAACTTTCCTTTAAGTGCTGTAATGTTTAAATGCAGAAATTTATGGCTATCCTTTAAACAATAAGTAACTTTCTGTTTCCTATGCATGTCCTTTCAGATGTTCCCATATAGCTGTATTTCCATAGTTTTGATTCTATTAAGAAGATATATAGAATCAGTGTGTTTGACACTGTGCCATAGGTCAAGTAATTATGAGGAAATCTATGATGTAATTGCTTAGCTTCTTCTCCTTATCAGAGTCTGTCATCCATCAGAACACCATTCTTAGCTTTCCTGATGGATGACAGCTAGGTCCTCTCAGAAGATATATTGCCAATAATGGAGTTCGGCTGCCTCTAACAAGCACGTTTCTCTCTTATGTGAATAGAGAGGGTCCTTCAGAGTTCACGCATCTGATTATATATATATCTGATTTGGTATGATTATTTCTTTTATTCACATTATTTCTTATTTGCTATATTCACCTCATGATCATAAGATTATTGCAACAGTCATAAATGCAAGGATCCCAGTCATAATTGCTTTTTTCAGTGCCATTGTAACTTTGAATGAATGCTGAATGAATGGTTGTTAAGTTGAGGACTGCCAATATGTACATATGTAAAGGGTAGGATTTGTGTTGCAGAACTGTAACAATTACATTATATTCAGTGTGTTTCTTTTAATCATAGCTTTTCTGAAACTTTGCTATGATTTTCCTTCTTCATATTAAAGTGAATAAAATAATAATGTGAACAAGGTGAATGGGAATAAAGTGAATAAAGTAGGAATCATGATAAAGTAGGAGTCAGTTACATGAACCCTAAAGGACACTCTTTATTCACTTTATTATAAGGGAGAAAGGGTCAGTTAAAAAACACTCTCTATTCACTTTATTATAAGGGAGAAAAGTGCTTGGAGATTATATTAAAAATCAGCTAAGTCCCATTATTGGTAATATATCTTTTGATGAGGCCTAGATATCGCGGAAGGACAGCCATATGGAAAACCTCTGAGGGGCCTCACTGTCCAAGACACAAAGACATGCATAGGAAACAAAGAGTTACTCATTACCTCTTATTACCCAAGGACAGCAATAAATCTCCCATTAGCAACTACAGCACTTAAGGAAAAGTTGTGTAGCTAAGATAATCTTATAAACTAGAAAGTAATGGTTTAGTAATTAGGAAGTACAAATTATCAAATGTATGTTAACCATATATGGAAAACTGCATGAGCTCACCAAATCCTTTGTCTTAGAAATGTATAAAAACAGTTAGATCAGAGCTCTTTTTTTGTTCAGACTTGCAAGAACCAAACTGCCTCTGAACCTTGCGCAATAAATCTGCATCTGGCTGACCCAGGAATGTTTTTCAGTCTTTCATTCTATAACAATATAAATAAGTATATTGATTCTCCCATTAATAACTGCTAAAGGAGCAAATTACAGGCCCTATAAATGTTCTAATATCTAAGGTTCCTTAAAGTTTTGGGGATGGAATGCATAACTGAAACGAAAAGAAGATATTTTAGATCATTATTTAAAACTGTTTTTGAAGCTTGCCTATGGATAGGTAATATTGGAATAAGAATTGGCAACAATAATAGATTTCATATCAATATAATTTTATCCACTCAAGGATGGTGGAGGGAAAAGGTCCTTAGAATATGTGTCTCAAGCCAGATCATGTGTCAAGCCAGAATATGTGTGTCAGGGATCATGTGTGAGAGGCATATACAAGTAGCCCTTTCATATATTTTCTTTACTTATCAGCTTACAAATCCTTGTGTGTGTGTGTGTGTGCCTTTGAATCATTGTTGACTCTTGTTAACTGCCTGGACTAATCCCTGCAGTTTTATTGGCAAAATTTTGAAAGTGGTTTCCCATTGCTATTTTCCTAGAACAGAGAGAGTGTGACTGGCGAAGGTCATCCAGCTGGCTTTGTGGGATTAGAATTTACAGTCTCCTGGTTTCTAGCTCAGTTCTTCAACCATTACAACAAACTGGCTCTCAACTATATGTTCAATGTATGAGAGCGGAGCAAAGGGGAATTAATAATAACTTTTATTAACAACAACAGCTAACATCAGACCCGCTCGGTGCTGAAGACCTTGGAGAGCAGGGCAGCTTCTGAGGCACTGACAGCTCTTAAATATGCAGAGCTGTCAGCGGCTGGGTCAATCGGGACGGGCCCATTTCCCGCCAGCTGGTAGCCGACGATCGGGCCAATCGGCTGCTCCGTCCTTATCACATGTGTGGCCTCCAGATGCAACACTATAAATGCACACATGGCTGAACAAATGTTAAAAAGCATTACAAGTAGCCTTCAATTTACTATCACAACTAAGACTGGAAATATGGTCATCAGCCATTATGGTCATAATTCGAGGCATCTATATGACTGGAAGTGATTTTACAAGCTTTTTTTGTGACTGACATTAAGCGAATGCCATGGTTGCTAATGAATCTGGCAGTTGTAAGTGTGATTCCATTCATCTGAATGGGTGGTTTTTACTGGTTTCCAGTTCATGTGACCATGCCTAGTTGTTAAGGTGACTGGTTGCCAAGCACCTAACATGTGTGGTCATATGACCATGTGGGGGATGCTGCAACCATTTACAAGTCAGGTGGTACTTTACGGGCTGTAAAGCACTCGTTCCATAGTTATCATAAATGTGAATGGTCATTAAGCAACTAGTCGTAAGTTGGAAGACGATATTTTTTTTATGTTCACTTCTTATTCACAGTTTTCAGCCATTTTCCGTATGTCTGGAACAATCCTTCAATTACAGAGTTGGTATTTTAATGTTCTAGTATAAAAGCTGAAAATTGGAATAATTTATTTATTTATTTATTATTTAAATTTTTATACTGCCCTTCTCCCGAAGGACTCAGGGCGGTGCACAGCCAACACTAAAACACACATACACAAAAAATTTAAAAGCAGTTTAAAAATATATTAAATAATTTGGCCCCGGTATTATTAAAAAACTAAAACAACCATTAAAATTCATGTTTAGGCCAGCCCAGCTTGTTGGAACAATAATGTCTTGAGGGCACGGCGAAAGGCACGTAGGTCAGGGATCATCCGTATCTCTGGGGGCAATTCATTCCAGAGGGCAGGTGCCCCCACAGAGAAGGCTCTTCCCCTGGGGGTCACCAGTCGACATTGTTTGACTGACGGCACCCTGAGGAGTCCTTCTCTGTGGGAGCGTACTGGCCGGTGGGAGGCTATCGGTAGCAGAAGGCGATCTCGTAAGTACCCAGGTCCTAAGTAAATTACAACCTAATTTACAATATATGATGATGTTCATAAAAATCCAGTTTCCTTAAGCATTTTATTGCATTAACAGCAGTTAATATACTAAGCTTTAAACCACAGTGTAGCTCACATCCTATAGAAGGCCAAAAGCAAACTGTGTATATTATGGCTTAATGTGTTTCATTTTTTTTATTTTACTGCTTTTAAAATAAAGCAGAAAAAGAAAAGAAAAACACAAAAGAATCATGTCCCAAAGATCCTTTTTTCAAGAGGCAACTGGACTTTCTGGTTTTTCTTTGAAGACATTTCGTTTCTCATCCAAGAAGTTTCTTCAGCCCTGACTACATGGTGGGGAATGGAAGGATTTATACCAGAGGTGAAATGCTCCCGGTTTGGACCGGATCGAGTGATCCATTAGCAATGGTAGCAGGTAGTTCAGAGAACCGGTAGCAAAAATTCCTGCCCCTCCCCCCTGCCCATGCCCACCCAATCGCCCGGTCCCCACTTGCCCACTTGGCAGCTTGCTGCTTCTTTCAGGCTCGCTCATGCTGCAATCCATTGCACCTGCCTGCAATCAATGCAATCGGTGAGCAACTCAGTCTGCCTGCCTGCCTTGTGCCTTCAATTTGGTTAGTAACTGGGAGCTTTAAAAAAATAGTTAATTAGGGTTTTTTTTAGGAGTTTTATTTTCTTTTTAGACATAGCAATTTAAAGTTAAGGAAGTTTTAAATTTAGCTGCTTTTATCTAAAAATATAAATAAAATAAAATAATAAATTTATTTATTTAAGTTGTGCAGCTTTCTGAGATTTGGTATGTTTCTGTAGTGTTTCACTCTATATACACAAACACAAAAAATCTAACAAAGCTGTATGTGGCATTTTGTGTGGAAAAAATGTGAAAGTTGGTTTTTGAGCTTTTTGTGCCTGAGGTTCCTGCTTGTTGCAGGGGCCATTTTGGGTGAAGTGCAGCTGCTTTTACATTATGTGTTTCAGTTGTGTTGTGTTGTGTTGTGTGTGTGTAAAGTGTGAAAGTTGGTTTTTGGTATCTCTTACTGTTTTGTGTACTTTGTTTATTATTTTTATTATTTATTATTATTGGCCATGCCCACCTGGTCACCTGACCACCAAGCCACGCCCACAGAACAGTAGGGAAAATTTTTAGATTTCACCCAATTTATACTCCTTGCAGATAGCTTGTCATTTGCATTCTTTTAGCAGGTCTTTAAGATCACCTGGAGGTTTATCTGTGTCATCAGGGTCACCCGAGTGGTGCAAATTGGTGTGGACCCTTCTTGGAACTGTTGAAAAGACTGTGTTGTAGACTGGAGATAGATGATGTTGTATCCCGCCCCCTCTGTTGAGAGAGGGCTGTTCAATTTTGACATAAATGGCCTCTTTAACCCTTCTTTCAAATCAGCGATGCTCTCTGTCCAAAATATGGATTTTGTTGTCTTCAAAAGCGTGGCCTGTGTCTTTTAAATACAAATGGACTGCTGAATCTAGTCCTGATGTGTTTGTTCTCCTATGTTGTGCCACGCATTTATGAAATGGTTGTTTCGTTTCCCCAATGTACACAATCTGCACATGGCTCACTGCATTGTACTACATATGCCATGTTGCTCAGTTTCTGTCTGGGTGTTTTATTCTTGGGGTGGATAAGCTTCTGCCTTAATGTATTCTTGGGTTTGAAGTGAGTACGTATGTTATGTTGGCTGAAGATCTTCCTGAGCTTTTCTGATATGCCTGCAATGTGCAGAATGACAATGTTGCTTCGTTTACTGTTCTCGTCATTGTTTGTTACAGAGGAGCTCCTGTAGGGTCTTTTTTGAGATTTGATGAAGGCCACATGTTCTGAGGACTTCCTTGATGTATTTACGTTCTTTTTCTTTCCCATGTTGCCCTGATGACACAGATAAACCTCCAGGTGACTTTAACGACCTGCTAAAACAGTGGTTCTCAACCTTCCTAAGGCCGCGACCCTTTAATACAGTTCCTCATGGTGTGGTGACCCCCAACCATAAAATTGTTCCTAAGACCATTGAAAATATGTATTTTCCGATGGTCTTAGGTGACCCCTGTGAAAGGGTTGTTCGACCCCCAAAGGGGTCCCGACCCACAGGTTGAGAACCACTGTGCTAAAAGAAGGCAATTGCAAATGACCAGCTGTCAGCAAGGAGTATAAATCCTTCCATTCCCCACCATGCAGTCAGAGCTGAAGAAACTTCTTGGATGAGAAGCGAAACGTCTTCAAAGAAAAACCAGAAAGTCCAGTTGCCTCTTGAAAAAAGCATGGGACAACCATGACCTGAATGATTGAGAATCTCCATAGACACAAAACAATCATGAAATACATATTTTATCAAAATGCATTATACGTGATTTTTAAAAAGGTGACAAAAATACGACAGAAAAAAAACCTAAAATATATTGTTATAACAGTAAACAGTTGCTGTTCTGCATTTATTTATCTGATGCAAATATTATGCAAGCATATATAGATTTCTAATACACTTATATAACTGATAGAAGAGAATATTTGTAGTTCAGGGTTGCACTGCGGGTTCCTTGGTGCTCTCTGAGCTTTCAGACATTTTATTACCAAACTAGATAATAATACTTAACCACACACACATACACATATATATATACAGTAACTACCATGCTTTATTTAACCTGTATTTTGTATAAATTAGTCCCATATTTCATTATACTTGTCCATACAGTCTATCATTAATACAATGTGTTTTGTGATCACACACACAAAATGTAGAGAAGACACTGATTTGAATTGATGAGCTCTGCATCACCAGGGGTGAGATTATTTTAAACAGGATACATTTTACAGCTAAGCAAAAAAGAGCCATATAATTGTATCCGTTAAAATAATTGGGCCAAGTCTCCACTGACTTGTATTCCAAATACCAGTGAGCTTGACTTGTTTAATTTAGAGTTTGCATATACTGTGGCATATGATTTAGCAAATAATGTGAATCTACTCAATTATGGTTTATTAGAGCATGTTAAGCAAAAATATAAAATAGTACAAAATATAAATCAGACCATCAGCAATGCTCCAATTTCACATGGATCTTTCTGCCTGGAGCTCCACATGATCCAAAATATATGAATCCCCAAAACAGAAGCAATCTGTTCCAAGAGCATTGTGCATCTGTTTTCCTATTCATATGAGACATCTTAAGTGACATTTCAGAATTTTTTATCAATGCAATTAAATAACAGCCTTGGAAACCATCTAATATCAACAGTGGCAGATCATGGTTGTACTCCCTATTTTTTCAGTTCTCCTCACCTCCTCTATTACCATTAAAACAGCACCCCCTTGCTCCGCAAGCATACTGCATATGCAGAAACGGGGCAAACGTTATTTGTTGACGCTGCTTGTCAGTCTGGACTCCGGTCCCCTTTTTCTGTCATTGTCTTATATTATCTTTGAAGTCTCTCCCACTTCCATGGGGAGTGCATGCAACCGGCTTTCCTTGCGAGTCGCCTCCCTTCGAATCTCACTGCGCTTCCGGAGCTGAGCCAGCAGGAGGCTCTACTGGGTTCCTGTTCCAGAAGGACAAGAAGATCTGCGCCAGGACTGGGACGGCGGATTTTCTGTAGGTTGTTTTACAGGCATCCATCCTTTTCAGTGGCAACTCGTTTTTGTTTTTGTTTTTGTTTTTTCCTTTCTCGAGTTAGAGCTGAAAGACTCTTCCGACGTTCAATGGGGGATGGCCAGGAAGGCTTCTTTTGCGAGCAGGCAGAGGTGCAGAAAGGTAAACCGGCACCGTGACGGCAGGAGCAATAACAGCAGCAGCAGCCACCGCCGTGGGAAAGGTAAGCGAGGACTGACTTCACGGTGGGTTAACTTGGCTCTCCTCCGGCCGGTTTCCCACCATTGGAGGACTATGAATGTCGCCCGCTTGTCCCTCACAAGCCCGGACCGTGCAAGTTGACGGTGCCTCGCCAGTCCAGGGCAAGAGTGAGGTAGCTGATTTGGAACAAGCAAGTAACCTATGAGCACCTTTCATAATCTCCAGGCTGTTTCCACCTTTTCTTTAAGAATTTTACAGTTGGCCTCTCGAAACGCAGGATGGTCGATGTTGACGCTTCCATTTTATACTTGTGTTTTTCTTTTCTTCCACGTAGCAAGGGGAAAGTGTGCTCTGCAAGGGGGAGGCGGCGACTTGGAGTGATCCTGTGCGGGAAGGTGAAGATGCTTGCTTTCTATTGAGAACAACTGAAAACAAGTAGTTTACTTTTTCCCCTCCTCATCTTTGCAAACCAAGTTTGCTTCGGGCAGTTCTGATTTGAGATAGAAAAGGAGAGCGTAGATGCCTATTAAACATTGTTCCTTGTGATTAGGATTACTTTGGAAATAAGGATGGAATGCGGTTATTATTATTATTATTATTATTATTATTATTATTATTATTATTATTATTATTATTATTATTTATTGGTTAATCTTTAGTGAGATTCACAGCCTTTGAGGCTGGTTAATAGCTCAGCAGCTCGAGTCCTAACCAAGGACCTAGGAACTGTTAAGGTATCGTCGGAGGATGTAAGCTGTTCCGAGTAAGGTGGTTTTTTGTAGAGTCAAAATGTTCAAGTCCGGCAAATTTAGAATTTCTAAATAGCGGGGTAGCCCTTTGGGTATTGCTCCGAGGGCTCCAATTACAATCAGTACAATGCATGATTTCTTTTTCCACAGTCGCTCAACTTCAATTTGTAAGTCCCGGTACTTTGTGATTTTTTCTTGCTGCTTATCTTCAATTCGTGCATCACCAGGTATTGCAATGTCAATGAACCATACTTTTTTCTTTTCAACTATTGTTATGTCAGGTGTGTTGTGGACCAAGTGCCTGTCAGTCTGAATCCTAAAGTCCCACAAGATCTTGAGTTTCTCATTCTCTAAAACTTTCTCAACCTGATGTTCCCAGTGGTTTTTGCTGTACTCAAATCCAAACTTCTGGCACAATTTCCAGTGAATGATTTTAGCAACACGGTCATGGCGTTGTAGGTAGTCAGTTTGTGAAATTTTGCTGCACCCACTGATCAGGTGGTCAACTGTCTCTTCTTTTTCATTGCAGAGGTGGCATTTGCTGTTGGTGGTAACATGTTGAATTTTTGCCTTCATACAGTTTGTGGCTAGGGCTTGTTCTTGAGCTGCCAAAATAAAGCTTTCTGTTTCTTTTTTCAGTATTCCTGATCTTAACCAGTTCCAAGTTAGTTTCTGGTCAGCTTTGCCTTCAATACTTTTCAAGTATTGGCCATGCAGAGCTTTGTGTTTCCAATTTTCAGCTCGCTGCTCAATTACTTCTTTCTTATATTCTGCTTTTGTTTTAGTTGTCTTTAAAAGGCCTCCTTTATTTACTTCCTTAATCATTGGTTCTTCACTTTTCTGGATGTAACCATTCAAGCTGCATTTTTCTTCTTCCACAGTCTGCTTTACTTGTAGGAGTCCTCGATCACCCTCTGCTCTTGGTAAATATAATCGGTCAACATCACTTTTAGGGTGCAAGGCATGATTCATTGTCATAAGCTTCCTTGTTTTTCTGTCCAAATTGTCTAATTCCATCTGGGTCCAGTCAATTATTCCTGCAGAATATCTAATCACAGGTATAGCCCAGGTATTTATGGCTTTTATGATGTTTCCTCCACTCAATTTGGACATTAATATCTTACGAATTCGTCGAATGTACTTGGCTGAAGTTAATTCCTTGACTTTATTATGCATTAAGTCAGAGGTTTGTAAAATTCCCAAGTACTTGTAGCCTTCTTCTGATTTTACTGCCTTTATCATTTCTTCATTCTCTAGTTCTATTCCATCCTCTTCTATGATCTTGCCTGCTTTGGTTGCTGCTATTATTATTATTATTATTATTATTATTATTATTATTATTATTATTATTATTTCAATTTGTATACTGCCCCTCTCCAAAGACTCAGGGCGGCTCACAACGCATTTAAAATCATTATAAAAAACATTTTAAAATTAAAAACATTAAAAACATTAAAACTCATTCACACCATTCATGGCCGGATCTCACCGGATTGCAAGAGCGAGATCAATGGCCCCAGGCCTGCTAGAAAAGCCAGGTCTTCACCGCTTTTTGGAAGGCCAATAGGGTGGGGATGGTCCAGACTTCAGAAGGTAACTGGTTCCAGAGAGCTGGGGCAGCCACAGAGAAGGCCCTCCCCTGCAGGCCTGCCAGCCGGCATTGTTTAGCTGACGGGACCTGGAGGAGACCAACTCTGTGGTATCTTACCGGTCATTGGGAGTTATGCGGTAGAAGGTGGGCTCGAAGATACCCTGGCCCTGAGGCATGTAGGGCTTTAAAGGTAATAACCAACACCTTGAATTGTGACCAGAGACCAATAGGAAGCCAGTGCAGCTCGCGGAGAATTGGTGTAATGTGGGTGTACCTAGGTGCTCGGGCGGCTGCGTTCTGGACCAACTGTAGTCTCCGAACACTTTTCAAGGGTAGCCCCATGTAGAGCGCGTTGCAATAATCTAACCGTGAGATGACAAGGGCATGAGTGACTGCGAGGAGAGCCTCCCAATCCAAGTAGGGTCGCAATTGGTACACCAGGCGAACCTATGCAAAGGTCCTGCTAGCTACAGCTGTCAGATGTTGCTCTAATTTTAGCTGTGAGTCTAGGAGGACACCCAAATTGCGAACCCGTTCTGAGGGGGACAATTTCTCTCCCCCCCCGAACCGAGGATGGACAATCAACATAGTCTTTAGGAGGCAATACCCACAGCCACTCGGTCTTGTCTGGGTTAAGTTTGAGCCTGTTGACTCCCATCCAAACCCTCACAGCCTCCAGGCACCTGTCCATCACATCCACTGCATCACTGAATTGACGTGGGGTAGAGATATACAGCTGGGTATCATCAGCGTATTGCTGATACCTCACCCCGTATCGTTGGATGATCTCACCCAGCGGCTTCATGTAGATGTTAAATAGGAGGGGAGAGAGGACCGAGCCCTGAGGCACCCCACAAACGAGGGGCCTAGGGGTTGACTTCTGTCCTCCTACCAACACTGACTGTGATCGACCAGAGAGAGAGGAGGAGAACCACCGTAACACGGTGCCTCCCACTCCCAGCTCCCTTAGTTGTCCCAGATGGATACCATGGTCAATGGTATCGAAAGCCGCTGAGAGGTCAAATAGCACCAAAATGGAGGAATGACCCCCATCTCAGGCTCGCCAGAGGTCATCCATCAGCGTGACCAAAGCAGTTTCTGTGCTGCAGCCAGGCCTGAAGCCAGAATGAAAAGGATCTAGATAATCCGTTTCCTCCAATGACCACAGGAGCTGAAGTGCCACCACTTTTTCTACAACCTTTCCCACAAAGGGTAGATTGGAGACTGGACGAAAGTTCTTTAATTCTGCTGGATCTAGGGAAGGCCTCTTGAGGAGAGGCCTTACAACCGCCTCCTTTAATGGTTGCGGGAAGGCCCCTTCCCTCAAGGACTTGTTAACTAAAGCCTGGAGCCAGCCTCGTGTCACCTCCCTGCTGGCCAAAACCAGCCAGGAGGGGCACGGGTCCAACAAACAAGTGGAGGAACTCATCGCTGCTACAGCCTTGTCCACTTCCTCAGGAGTCACAGGCTCAAACTCATCCGACACAATAGGACTAAGACCTGCCCCCATCATCTTGGTCGGAATTGCCCAATCAGAGTCCAGGTCCATCTGAAACTGAGCGACTTTATCCGACAGAAACTGCACAAACTCCTCAATTCTACCCTGCAAGGGCTCCTCCACTCCCCCTACATTAAGGAGGGAGCGAGTCACCCTGAATAGGGCAGCTCGGCGCGAATTCATCACCCAGTTATAATTCTTGTTTCAATCTGTCAAGATAATATGACTTTATCAACATTTTATTCATTTGCAAAGATACCCATTTCTTCCCAAAACTGATCCTGCTGAATTCAGTAGCTGTTTTGTTCAGACAGTGGAGCAGGAATTGTAGGTTGGCTCTTCAGAAGGGTTTAATATATGATTAATTACACTCCCTTTGACAATGCTACTTATCTCCCCCACCCCCAGTCTCTCATGGACACTTTCACTTGCATACTGAATTTGGAAAGTAAACTGTGCAGATGAGTCTTTTTCAATGATAAAATCTGAAAGCTCAACACTGAAAGAAAATCTACTAAGCACTAAAACAAAAATGGTGTACCCTTGCTAGGCTTTTTGGTTTGTTTCTGAAAACTGAAGTGCCTTTGAGATATGAAGAGTGAGATCAAAGGAGTTGTAGTATAGAAACTGTAGTATGACAGAATTAATTGACATGCCAAAAGAAATTTCCCCTTTGCGTATGTATTACTCAATGGATCACCACTCATTGCATAAACTGCCTTTGAAATTCCCGATACTTTAGAATGGAGCCTTCTTAGCCTTCTGCAAAGTATCAGGGCAGACGTTACTGAATAAACAGGGAAATTCAAATAAAATATTAACAGTCCAATTTTATAGGCATTTATTAAAAGAAAGACTCAGTATTTTCTGTACTGTCTAATCCCATGAAAGGATGCTCAGAAGGCAGCCAACAAATAGTATTAATTTATGTGTACATATATGAATCACCTAAGCAAATTTTCATGTAAGGTAGGAATTTGAAACAGTGGACTGTGCGTGCCCTGTCAAGGGCTAAAGTCCAAAAATCGGAAAGTCATGTTTTATTTTGGAAGACAGGTTATAACGGGTACTTTAAATTTCTGGAAGACTTAAAATATCCTTTGGCTCTATAAAACCCTTTCCAGAATTTTAATTAATGCAGCAAATTTTGAAAAAAAAGTGTTAGCCCACTAATATGGAGTGTC